TTGTTAAGCGAGGCATTATGTGATCAAGCCCAATTTCACAATCCTTTTTTTGTTGAACAAATCACCTGCAGTCATTAAGGGAGACATCACATGTCTTTGACCCCTGACTTCTGCCAGCTTCCCCATTGTCTATGCTCCTTGAAAGCCACTGGGAAATTGCAAATGGCACAGGAGTGCAGGATGCTACATCTGTGGTAAGTGGACTTACCAAACACTCTGATTGCAATCACATGACTGTTGGACACTCTGGCAGTCATAAGTATGAAGACCAGTCATAAATTACTTTTTTCAGCACTTTAGTAACTTAACGGTTGCTAAATAAATAATTGTTAAGGAAGGACTACCTGTATTTACATATAACTCACGCTATAACTTTCTCTCTTGCATTTGTTGTTTTTGCATTGTTGAACTTACAGTATGAAGCTTTCTTGGCACAAGTGTCTTTTGCAAAGAAAGATTATGGAAATTGTTAGATATAGGAGACTCCATGGATTTAGTTCATTGTTCTCTAGCATGTTAGTATACTCCGAAACATATAATACTATAGAGGAAACTTATCTGCTAAAAAGAAATCTAAAAAGTTCCATTTCAATCTTTCTACTTCTTCAGAATTTTTAACTCAAAGTCCACAAATTATGCCTTACTACCCTGCATTCCACACGGAAAGTGAAACCATCTCTTCTTTAGAAACAACAACCTTATTCAGCCCGCCTCACTTTTGGCTTATTTACTTTATGTATGCTGCTCTGGACACTGAATGTGGTAAGGGTGTTATTAAAAGTACACTTTGTACAGAAGGTGTCAGCTGAAAGACCAGGGACTGTGAAAGGATCACACAGAAGTTATTAATTCCGCTTACTCTCAGAACTCTGGATTCTTGTTTGGGGTTTCAACCATAATCTTTTTGCTTCTTTTAAGTCAGTGACTGTTTTAATGGTTTTAGATTATTATTACTTTATAGTCATTCTCTGCCTCAGAATATAGATTAGGGGAAAAAAAGAAAATTTATTTTAAAGTGCAAAATTATGTAGGTTAAAGACAGTAGTTCCATTAATATAAGGAACAGGATATTGAAAATTGAAAGACCTAACTAGGTTAGTGAAATAATTCATCCAAAATAGATTGAAATGAACGAAGAACTAAGAATGTTCACCCCAAAGTAAGCTTACCTTCTAGCCTATATTCCCATGTCCAGGAAATGAAATTTATGAAATGGGATAGAATTGTGTCTAATCAGTGTTGGTGGTGCTAGCCAAATTTATCTTCTGGGAAGCATGTACTCCTGTTCTTTATGAATTCATACTCATAATTGCTATTGTGACACATAGATTCTGTGCTTGATTGTTTTGGTCAGCTGTTGGGTAGGATGCCTCATTCATCTGAAGTATCTCCTACAGTGCTTGAGCAATAGAGCAGAGGGTTAGTTTTTGAATTGTAGCATTGATAGCAGTTCTACTTCATTTGAATTAACTAACTCAAAGATAAGCATATATTAATTCTGTACTAGTGGGAGCTTTCAATAAACATTTTATTTGTTTACTTGTACACAGATTAATTTTGCTTTTTATTTTTGTTTGTTTTTGGCTAAAAATAGTGATCCTTTCAAAGATCACCTTTTAAAAATTCGTGATCTTCACTGGACAAACATTTTGTATTTAAAGGGTATAAGATGATAATGTAGAAACTTTCAATCTTTTCAAAGTTATACTCTATTTTATCTAAATTTGTAAATATTACAGTATGCATACTACTTTTACAGAATGTAAATGTGCTTGTTAATGTACATGTAAGTATTATTTAACATTTTGTGAAAAAAATCTTTCTTGCTTCTTGTTTTATTTTTTTAATTAAAGTTATGATCAGGTGCAAGTTGCTTTTCATTTTTCTTAGACATGAAACATATTGTTGAACTTTTGTTAAAATGGGTGGAACCAAAGGTGTGTTTAACAATGACAAAAGAAATGCCTTTCTTGCATTTATTAAGTAACTGCAGGTTCAAGGTAAATCTGTATATAGGTGATATTACCATAGTAAATGTGTTTGATCAACAAACTTGAATTCTTATATTGTAGCTTGCAGTAGTTGTATTAAAATACATGGTACTAAATTGTTTCTGATAGTATTGCAGAAGGAAGCTACTATGTTTAAGCAATGATGCAATATGAGTGGTTTGTTGCATGTTCTGCAGTAATAAAAGAGCTTTGGAAGAAAATATGTTATCTCAAAACTGAAAGGTTGTTAAAACTAAAAGCTTGTTGCGAGGTAGGTGAAGGGAGAAACCTGGTTAGAGAAAGGAAAACAAAAGTTGCCATAGGTTTCTTGATAGTGTTATGTTCTGGATGGTTTTAGATGTACTCCAGAAGATCTGAAAATAAGAACAGTGGAAGAATGATGTCTGTAGTCTACAGTTAATTAATATTCAGGTGACTTTAACCAAACAACATATGGGAGAGAGTCCTAATTCCTGTTACATCATTTATGCATCGTGCAGATACTAAATTTTTGAAACCATCTATGTAAAAACAGCAATAACAGCAAGGAAGATTACAAAATAACCTTAAGCTATAAAATAATGTATCACTTTGATTATGGTTTATTTGTAAATGTTACTGATACAATTCTATTCAAATTTGCCTGCAGTAATTTCCTTGCTAGAGAATAGTTCTGGCTATCCCCTAATCATTATGATTGTCCTTTTCTAGTTTCTGTAATAATAATATGCAAATCATTCCATGCACATTTACATTACAATTTTACTTTTGTCAATTTTTGCTTCCGTTTTCTTCCAAATAATTCCCAAGATAGAATTTCCCATGTTTTATAGCCAGTGCACACTAGACTGACAGATTGCTTTCCTGATCAGTGATTCCAACTCCGCTAAAGAATACATGAGCTTGCACTTCAAGCCAAAGCTTACCCTGGATTGCCTTTGCTATTTTAAGGCCCATTCACCCATTTCATTTTGGATCTCTCCACAATCCCTTTTTTGATCTAATCAACTGGAGCAATTTGAAATAATCAGCAAACTTGCCATCTCGTTGCTCATCTCTTATTCCAAAGGTGTTTATAAATGAGCTTAAAAGACTGATCCATGTGATACCCCTTTTATGCAACCCTCCTTTGTGAAAACTGTATTCCTAATCTCTGCTTCCTATTCTTTGATGATCACAAAACCATGAGATGACTTGTCCTCTTATGACATTGCTTCTATATTGAATAAAGAGTTTGTTGGATACATTCAGCTACTAGCACATATCAAATCATTCTTGTTTTCATGCTTGTTTACATACATACTGTATATATAGTTTTCTATTTTTCTTCCCTCCATTTTATTCAGATTGGATTTGAAACTGTGTTATAATTTCCTGAATCTACCCTCTCTTTTTTTAAAATTTAGAATTATATTCTGATTACATAATAAGATATTTGGCTAAGGGCCATACTTTTAATAATTATTTTCTGCTTCAAGTGCTATAAGAGCCATGGTGAATGATAACCATGATTCATTGAGTGGAACAGTTGTTTTAATCAGGTTTATCTCCACCTTTTCTGGCTATAAAATTAATGCTGCTGCCCAGTTCTAATGGTAACCTTTTCAGCAGATCTAGGACTTTCAGAAATGTATGGGGAAAAACTATGCTACATGCTAAGTCTAGGGCTGAGTCTTAGTATTGGGAGGAAGTGAAGGAGCCTACAGGAAGTGCTTTGGGCTTTAATAAATTGGCATGCAATGTATGCTTTGAATAATGAAAAAAACCTGCTCTACTATTTCCTATGTTTCCTAACATCGGAACAGCTTATTTAAATAAGCATTTCAAAAGAACTAATTTCTTAGAGAAACTTCAAAGGATTTTACTTTTCCTCATCTACTTCCTTCTTAAAATTCTGAGAATTTGGGGAACTCAGAATAAGAAGGGGTTTTCTTTTATGAATTGTGGAATTCTTATCACACAAACATTGGCCTTTGCAGAAGGACAAATTTCCCCCTTCTCCTTTGTCTGCTGTTGCTAGAATAAAAGCTGAAAAGTTGCTGTTTATTTTTATTGCTCCAGATGTACCAATATTGAGCTCATAAACCACAAATTGTACTTCCTAAAGGAAGTACTGACACTCAAAATTGGAAGTCTAGTCTGATCCTTCCCTATATTACTATTTATGTCTATTTTTAAGGCTACTGGGAGAAGTTCTGAATTATTAATTAAACACACATATGCTTCCATATTAAGCACTTTTTGTTCAGTTTGTGGATCAAAAGGCTAGGCAGATAATGGAATCCCCATATTAATAGTGCCACTGCTCTTTGGTGCCATTGCTGTCTGAAAGCAAGGAAACATTAGAATGTTAATATTGTGAATTATGTGAATAGGATGTAATATGCTGACAGGTAAAATTCCCGTTCTTTCCACTCAGTCTTTCAAAATTCTTTTGATTGATTATATGTTTGCACTTTTAAAAGTGGAAGATCAGATGTTGTTTATCCCAAACCAGGGACTATACTTGAAGACAAAAGACTGAGAATGAAGTACATTACATTGGTGGTGAAATACTCAGATTTCAGGCTGGCAACTGCTTGGAAAAAAGCCACTCTATGTAATGGAAAATAAATATCACTGCTGATAGAGATATTCATGAAAATAAATATATAACAAATTGTTTCATATTTATAATGAAGAAGTGAAATGTTTCAGTCTCTTTCATTTCAGTTTTTTACTTTGTAAAATAGGCTTCCACCACGAATTCTTACTTGGGATAAATTAGCTAAAGTCAAGTGAACTGAGTTCTAAGTAGAAACTCATAGGTTTGTACTCCTAAATTCAGAAACTGGCAGGAAATAATTGACTATTTTCTTATCCCTTAAAATAATGGTGATCCATCATACCAACAGGTTTGGAGGGTTTTATGCCAGGGGAGTTCCTACCATGTAACAGAACTATTTGCAGAAGTAGCTTAGCTTTGCCTATCCAATGATACTGATTCAGATATATTTTCTTATTTTACAGGTTCAGTTGAAAAGATGTCTTGCCAGAAAGTTATCCATTTTGGGCAGCAGTTGTTTCGTCGGAAAGTGGTAGACTGTACAAGCAACGACAGCCGGTTCTCGCGGTGCCTCAACACATTTGACTTGGTTGCCCTTGGAGTAGGCAGCACTCTTGGGGCAGGGGTTTATGTTCTGGCTGGAGCAGTGGCACAAGAAAATGCAGGACCTGCCATTGTCATTTCCTTTCTGATTGCAGCTCTGGCTTCTGTGTTGGCTGGACTTTGCTATGGAGAATTTGGTGCTAGAGTTCCAAAGACTGGATCAGCGTATCTCTATAGTTATGTGACTGTCGGTGAGCTGTGGGCATTTATTACTGGATGGAACCTGATTCTTTCTTATGTCATTGGTGGGTATTCCTTTGTATTATTGGTCCATTGAATTAAGAACAAATTTAGATCTGTGAAATATTGCATTGTGCTCTGTCATAATAACTTCCCTTTAAACTTTAGAATAGCTTCATATGATCATCCCAAAAGCATATTATTTGAGTGGAGAATACTGGTTAACAAGAGCAGTACTTTGAAAGGAATGGTTCTTTTAAAGTTTTAAAGCCTCTGAAGGTGAGAATAGAGTGATGTAACTAAAAAAATGGAGGCAAAATGTGTGAGCTTTCTGAAGGGGTGAGTTGTGGAGATTAATATATGTTCGTTATTATTATAATTTATTTTGAGCATTATTGTAGAAATATCTTTAAAAATGTGTTGATTTGCCATATTATAATGGAACAATTTTAGGGAGAGGTCTGTGCAATGGGGTGAGCTCCCATTACTTGCTGCAGCTCCTGCCCACCTAGCAATTCAAAAGCATGCAAATGCAAATAGATTAATAAGTACCACTTCAGTGGGAAGAGAACGGTGTTCCATATGCTGTTAGGTAGAGCCATGTTGGCCACATGACCATGGAAATTGTCTTTAGACATTGCTGGCTCCCTCGGCCAAGAAATGGAGAGGACCACTCTGCCCTAGAGTTGGACATGACTGACAAGGAAATCTTTGCCTTTTTTTCCGGCATTAACAAAATGGGGCTGAAAATAATTGATTCCTGGGGTAGTGCATGAGAGGAACTGTTAAGCAGAAGAATTACGTGTCAAGGCTATTTCTTATACTGAAACAGAGGGGAGATGAGGCCCTGCCTTTCAAGAGACACAAACTTCACTCCTGCATCAAAAAAGAGGAAGCGAATGTTGCTACCTTGGAGTGTCTATATATAAGTATCTAATTTGAAAATGGAATTCTTGCTGGAATATTTGTGTAGTGACCTTCACTTTCCTTCCAGTAAATGCTACCAGTCAGAACTCTTAGGGACTTCTTCTTTTGAATAAGTGTTTTGATTGTATGATAAACATGAAGAAGGGTAAAACCTGTTGTTTAAATCTATCCCGATGCATATGATAGAATGCTATGCATTAGGATTTAATTTGATTGCCTAAGTCTGACAAATGCTGATGAACGTTAAGAATCCCTTTGGGCCACAAACAAATGTTTGAAGGGAAAATTAGAACTCGACAGGTGCGCTCCACCTTTTGCAGCTTGGTGGCCTGGCTGTGAGGGGGAGAGGGAAACTGGCTGTGTGAGCGGCAGGCTAGTGTGCATGTATGCAGCTTGACTTGCGTGAAAGCAAAACTCAGCCTTATAAGATAGATTATAGGAGAACATTGCAAATTTATTTTGTGTTTTTCTCAATTGTAGAAGTAGAGTATAAAAAAAGAAAAGAAACACAATTTAGGTATAGATTTGGAAATCAGACCATGTGCTATGTGTAGTTCTATACTCTTCTCTTTTTAACGCATGATTAAATGCAGAATCTCAGATTACGTGTAATAATTTGCCATGTTAGCAAGAGGCACAAGTTGGGAACAACAAATACATTTAATAAATAAAAACAAACAACTAAAGCTTTGTGTGGCTTCTAGTAACTCCAGTTTCTGATAACTCTGGTTTCTTTTATGTGTATGAAATGGCAAATTCCAGTTAACATATTTTTCCGTGTATAAGACGCACTTTGCCTTCCCCTCCCAAAAAGTGGGTAGAAATGTCTGTGCGTCTTGTACAGTGAATGTTGCCGAAACCCTGCCCACCCACCAACCCCACCCTTCGGCCTCTGCCTCCTTGCAGCAAACGGCAAACAGCCTAGTCAGCTTCAGCACAATCTGATTAGCACAAGCAGCTGATTGTCAGTTGGATCTGCCACCTGACGATCAGCTGTTTCAGGCTGCAGGGATCGCCATCACCTATTGATGCCTTCGTGTACCCATTTTCAGCCTCCGCATCCCATTTTCGGCCTCTGCGCACCCCATTTTTCGCTCGTTCCAATCTCCACCGCCTGGAATGGGCTGAAAATGGGACATGTGGTGGCCAAAAACGGGATGTTGGATTTTTTTTCTTGTTTTCCTCCCCCAAAGCTAGATGTATCTTATATTTCAAAGCGTCTTATAATCTGAAAAATATGGTAAATTACAGATTGAAACATAATGGCTACCTGGCCCCATGAGGGCTTTTAATTTTCTAATTACTGAAATTCCATGAGACTATTGGCAATCTTATGTAAACTCTTATAAGATCTAAAAACGTTAAATGTTTTTCCAGATCTGTGCCTGAGCCTCTGATTAAAATTTGGGATAAATATAAGTTTCATGGTTTCTGAATTGGAAGATGATTTAATAATGACTTGAGCAAAAGTGATATAGTACATAATCAAGCAAAAGGCACATACATTCCTTGAATAATGAGACAGGATTGTTTCAGCCAGATGATAGAGCTACATAGCAATAGCAACAGCACTTAGACTTATATACCACTTTATAGTGCTTTACAGCCCTCTCTAGCCAGTTTTATAGAGTTGACATATTGCCCCCAACAGTCTGAGTCCTCACTTTACCTACCTCAGAAGGATGGAAGGCTGAGTCAACCTTGAGCCTGGTGTGATTTGAACTGTCAAATTGCAGGCCGGTTTTCAGCAGAAGTGGCCTGCAGTACAGCACTCTAATTACTGCACCACTGAGACTCATACATCATAATATTTTTAAGTGCAAAAATTGGTGAAGGGATAAAGAAATTAATTAAAATGTAGAATTATTTAAATTAATTGGGTATTAAGAGCTCTTATATACAAGAAGAATGAAAGATAAATATATTGAGAAACATCTTGTTGAAAGTTGGCAAATAGTTTTTTTTTAAAAAAAATAAAAATTAGTGCCCTTTAGGAAATGTACTGTATGTTTTATGTGTTTTTATTAGTTTATAACTTTTTTAAAAATGAAACACATTAATAATACATTAAACATTTTAGCAAGTAACTGCAGATGAAAACTGCTAAAAACAATTTTTATTGGCTGTCAGTGAAATAATAGCTGGACAGTATTTATCTTTGGTGGAATTCATGTTTTGTAGAATAATTTTTCAAAAGGCAGTTCCTGTAGCAAATATTTAATTTTTTTTTTTTTTTGTAGAAGCGTAGAGAAATAGTGATTCATGTTTTTCTGTGATAAAAGAAAATACTTGGGAGAATCACAGCATGAATTTGTTTAAAGATGGAATTTGTTCCAAAATAAGTAGGAGTGGTTGAATAGGAAGGGTTTGGAAGGGAATGTAGGTTGAACTTCAAAAGCTCTGTATTTATTTACAACTACTTGGTGTTCGCATAAAGAATTTCCTTGCTTTGTATGCATTTATAGAATTAGCATCCCCTGATCTTGTTGATCAGAACATGGCCTCCGTGAATCTTTTTATATTGTTTTCCAGGAAAAAAAAACCCCACTCTGTTAGGCAGCTGTTCCAGGTACAAAATCAATTGTGGAGGTCCTCTTGAGGTCCAATGGACCTCTTGGAGGTCCAATGGACCTCCATTGGACCTCTTGAGGTCCAATGCCTTCAAAGAGTATCAGTTAGAGAAGATGATTTTTACACTGTATAAGTATACAAAGAGTCCCTCCCCAGTCTTGTACCCTTCAGATATTGACTAAACTTTAGCTCCAATTGTCACCAGTTACCATTGCCTCTCTAGGCTTGGCTTGTAAATTACCTCTCTTATCCTTTATTCAAAGTGCAATTGAAATAACTTATTTTCACTTTGACTAAAATTCCGAGTTTTACCCATCACACAATAAGTGAGTGGGATTTGAATGATTTTGTAATGATTTGACTAAAGTTTGAGAGTGGAGTTTAGTCACCTCTGAGTGAGATGGGAGCCAAAAAAATTATTAAATAATAATAATTAAGAGTAATATATTGAAGATCAAGGTCGTCCAGTCTAACAGAGGAAATAGAACGAACAAATTACATGTTATACATAAATGATAAAAACTAGAAGTAGTAGATGCATTTATATTGGTAGATATTCAGTAAAAATGGGAAAACAATAAAAAAAAATAGATACCCAAACGCTTGTAAAAAAGAAATGGGTAGTATAGGGTAATACAGAATTGATCATCTTGTTTTGGAAAGAGCATTATGACTTGCAAGTTTTGTACTCTGATGTAGATAAATGGATTTTGGTGATTTAAATGTTCAGTTGCAAAAATTTGCAGAACCACCGGCCTCTAAAATTCCCAACAGGGAACAACCTCCTCACGGTCACTTCTGAACTCTTGGATACAACAGTCCTGTGAATTTGTGTGAATAACTCCTGTTCTTATGACACAGGCCAGGAAGCTGGGGAGTAGTAGGAAACAAACAACACACATTTTAGAGGAAGATAGTTGAATTGTCTTCCATTCTTGTTCAGCCTGATTTGAAAACCTCTAGAACGGATGTCCAACTCAAGGCCCGGGGGCTGGATTTGGCCCTCGATGTGACCAGATCTGGCCTTTGGGGCTGCCCTGAAAACTTCAAGGGGCCAGCCCACGTTGCTTCAGCCCACCCCATCCCATCACACAGGCAAATGGCAAGGTCGGTGCAGCTTCTGGTGTTTCGGGGGAAAGGGGGCTGGGTCACACCAGTGAGCAGTAAGGCTGCCACAGCTTCTGTAAACGCAGGGGTACAGGGGGAGGATACACAGGTGTCAGGCTGGAGTGGTAATGGGACTCCCCCAAGCCTTACACCATCCTCATTTGCCTGCCTGTGTAGCCACCCCAGGCACCCTGCCTACAATGCCAGAAGCTGCGCCAGCCTTGCCACTCGCCTACATGACTCCCTCATCCCCAGATGGCAAGGCTCCTCTGATTGATGAGGTTTTGGTGCTTGCCCTGCCTACCCATCCACGCCCACCTGGCCCTTTGAGGGAAATCATAATGCTGATCTGGCCCTCAATGAAATTGAGTTTGACACCCTTGCTCTAGAACAGGGGTGTCCAACCTTGGCAACTTTAAGACTTGTGGACTTCAACTCCCAGAATTCCTCAGCCAGTTGAAGTCCACAAGTCTTAAAGTTGCCAAGGTTGGACACCCCTGCTCTAGAAGATAAAGTGAATTTGTTGTTAACAAAATTCTTCAACAGCAGTTGCGCAATTCTGCTTGGGCATAGCAGCTTCAAAATAAAAAAAAAAAAATGAAATGTGGCCAAAATTATATTAGTCTGTTTGGGATATCTACCCCTTTATGATAAGATTCCAATTTCAAACTGCTTACTTCTTCGATATGTATTTTTACATGCTTTATAAATTCCTTAGCAATTTTTTTTTGCTTTGCATAACCTTGTTCACTCCAGATGAAATAGTGCCATGTGTATGTTAATGGATATAATGTTATAAAAAGGTAGCTTTCATTTTTATTCTCATGCAGGAACATCAAGTGTAGCCAGGGCTTGGAGTGCAACATTTGATGAGCTTATAGGCGAGCACATTGAGAAATTCTTTGGTCGCTACATGTCTATGAATGTTCCTGGTGTGCTAGCAAAATACCCAGATGTCTTTTCTGTTTTCATTATCCTAATCTTAACAGGTGAGAGAAATAAATAAATACTATTTGGAATGAGCATTTTGTAGTGCTTTTGAAATCTTATTTTGCAGAGAAAATGAACATTTTTATTTATTTTGCCATTTTTAAAAAGCTTTTTATTTGCTGGTTCAAATTGCCCTTCTGAGTGGTTGCAGAGATAGGATTACTTTTTGTTACTGTTTGTTTAAAATTATTTATGTGTGCATCTAGGTACAGGCTGGAAATTGTTGGAACATTGTAGCTGTACTTTTTTTCTTGTAATAAAAACAGTGATTAAAGATTACCTTTAATGAGCTTTAGAAAAGGCTTTGAAACTTCCAATTTTTTCCCATTTGTGGCCTAAGAAGCAACTGTATATGTTATTCACAACGTTAAAGGGAATTAGATTTAAAATCCAGATTTACTTTTGATGTTTACCTCAAAGGCTCCTACATAAATGCTCGGTACACGTTCTCTAATTATGTGCTTCTCAGATGTCAGGCAAGATACTCTCCAGTTGCTTGGCAACTCTGGCAATATATCTGTTTTCTGAAAACCAATAAGAAAGTTGTGCAGTCTTATTTCTGCAGTTGCCAAATCTTTCAGGTCTGAAAGGTTTTTCCTAATTCTTTCTCCCCATATCTGTTACATTCCTTTGTAAAAAAAACTTGAAAGCTTGTTGAGTCTCATTCCTGCCTGAGACATCACTCAACAGCTAGCAATGGAGATTTCCATGACTGACCAGAACATGTCTAGGCACCTTCTTAAAAATTATGTTTGCTTCTTAAAAATATTCCTGAATATAATTTCATAGACTGATAGCTTGGATCAGGACCATGTATTGGTATTCTGGTCATGTAAGAGGTGCACTTTATAAATACTTAAATCAAGTGACTGAATTAATTGGCACCTGGAAATTTTTAAGTCATTACAAAGTTCATCAAAGTGGCTAGATTCACAACACAGCCAAACAAGCCTTGTTGTTATAAAAATATTTTGGATATGCATAATCTAAAACATAAAATTAGTAGGAAAGGGGCCATATTTGAGGCACTTACTATGTATTACTGTGTGGAATCGGAATGAAAGTTTTGGATAATTTCCTTTCTTTGCCTCTGTTTCAAAAAATATATATAAGAAACTAGCAGCTGAGAAATATGTTGGTAAAAGTCTTTCCAAAAATAATTTGGGAAATGTTGAAGCAATTCTTTCCAAGAATATATTTTTTCTTGTTGGTGTTGATTATAATACAATTATCCACTGTAATTTTTTTAAGGGCTTCTGACTTTTGGTGTGAAAGAATCTGCAATGGTGAACAAAGTGTTCACTTGTATCAACGTCCTTGTCTTGGGCTTTGTGATGGTGTCAGGTTTCGTGAAAGGCTCAATAAAAAACTGGCAGATCCCAGAAAATATTTCACTTCCAGAGAAGTATGTTGGCTCTTATTTTTTATATATACATATCTGAAATAATACGTACATTCATGGCTTTTGTTTAGCGCACACTGACTGTATATCAGGTATGAAAATAAGAAAAGTGGGCGGTTTGTAACACATCAGGTGGTTGACGGAGACTGAAATTCAATACTATACAAATAGTTTAATTAACAAAAATCAGTCACATGGCTGGTGCCAGGCTGCCTACGGTTTATTCATATGCAGTTCTTTGAATCATAAGTGGTTCAAAGCTCAGATAGTTTCAGTAAGCTTTCACTAGGATCTGTTGCTATAGATAGAAATTAATTGTAAACTTGAAGGCATCCTTTTATTTACACGAGTAGTGCTTCTGTTGCAAATAAGATAAGAAATAGCAGCTGGTCCAGAGTGGATAACCTTACCCAACTTACTATAGCCAGATATTTGGGATTATAACTTTCACCATTCCATCTATAATTAATGCTGCTGTAGATGCAGCCTCGTGTGTGAATTAGTAAAATTGTGGTTATTCACAGACTTCATGTGTATGTTCAAATTATACTTAAAATAAAAGACTACAGTGGGGGCTGCCCATTTGTTTCACTTAATGTTCATCTTGCAAAAATTTCCCCCATAGAAAGAAGTTTCTGTACCAAGAAGAATAAAATATTTGAAATGTCACTGCTGCTTTGCAACATTGAGTTCCTCCCTTATTACCTCCTAAGCAACACAGTGAGAATTTTTCACCACACAGAGGGCCTTTTGTTAGTCCTGGTTTAATATTCTGAAGTTTTGACAGCTAGGAAGGCTGCCTTCTTTTGCAGTTGATCTAAGAGAAAAGCTATAATTCTCTGTGCCATGGGTACATTGCCTCTTTCCCGGACTTTTTAGATCTCAGTCCAATATTTAGCAAGCAAATTATAATTGGCAGATTTAAGACCTGTTAAGGAAAAAAGGCAATGGGAGGAGTCAAGTTAGGAGAAAAAAAGTACACATAACTTGAGAAATGCATTTGAGTTATGCCTATTTTCTTCTTTGCCCATACCCATTTTCCTCCTTGCCTTCTCCTCTTGTTCCTAAGAATTGGAATATGTTGGTTGACTCCAAAAAAGGGAGAATGTCTAGAAGGCAGCAAGTCTTTTTTGCCCTTTTAATCAACCTAATCTTGAAAGTGCTTCAAGACCTTGTTGTTTTTGCAGGATAGAACAATTTGCAAGGACCTAAGACACTTTATATACCGTATTTACCGGACTATAGAGCACATCGGAATATAAGCCGCACCCACTAAATTTTAAAAGAAAAAAATATTTGCACATATATTAGCCGCACCAGACTATAAACCGCAGATATATACATTGTGAAATGAGATGTTTACACAGAAAGCGAAGAATGCTCTTCACACGTGGCCTGACGTCTCCAACGTCTCGCCATTGATTCATTAACGCCAAGCTTACGTGCAGCAGCTCTGTTTCCTTCCTGGATAGACAGATCGCTTGCTTTCAACTTAAAAGCTGCATCATATGCTTTTCTTCATGTACTTTCCATGATGAGGGTGTGAAAAATATTTTGCGTTTGTGTGTGTTGTGCTGCTTGTATCGGGTGCGCCAAAAACTACCGGTAGTGTTGTCTTCTTTGCATTTCCCTCTTGCGTCTGTCATGTTTTTGTGCCCCCTGATGGCAGTTAACGAAGAAAAATCTATAGATAAGCCTCATTGTTGTACAAGCCGCAGGGTTCAAAGCGTGAGGAAAAAGTAGCGGTTTATAGACCGGTAAATACGGCAATACAAGACATATTATATAATAAAACCTAGAGTCTACTTGGAAACAATAAAAAGAAATTTAAAAAGAGAAGTAATAAAACCTTGGAACCAAATGGGCCAGCAAGTTTATAATGTTCTGTGGGCCACAGCCATAGAAGAATTGCCTGGCTAGACTTTTTAGTACCTTTTATACAAATTAAAAACACCAGCTAAAACAATTAAGATTTTAGTGAATCTCTGTATGAATTTTAAATTGAACTAAATAACTCTGCATCTAAACAGAGGCCTGGATTTCTGAAAATGCAGATAGTGAGTACAGATTCTTTGATTGACAAAGCTGAACCTCCCCTCCCGTCCCCTTCCCTGTCTACCTAGAAGCTAATGATAGCATACACAGGGCTTCTTATTGTTATTTAATTCAAATAATTAATTTTTTAAAATGATCATTCAACTTGTTCCAAAATTTAAAAATAGTTTTGAAACCAAACTTTAAAAATGAAAAAAAAAGACTCATCCTGCCCGGTCCCGTTCATATTTGCAGTGCACAAAAATAGATCCTATTGATTTTGATGAGTGTTTATATATATTCTTGGATTATTACAGATTGATACTAATATGCTCAAAACTAGAAGTCCATTTATTGGTGCAGTTGTTTAATAGAGCTGCAAATGAGTCCTGGGAGCGGTCCATAAATTAATAATATAGTATCCATTTAGTATTGGTAAGTCTTGATGAGTCAGCTGTATTGTGTTGTCTTGGTAAAGTGAATTTGCCCTGTTGAATTTTCATAGTTGCAAGATACTCTTGGAATTGGGTAATCAGAATCACTTCTGATTTCTTGCTGCTTCTTCTAGTTCCACACAGGATCTGCCGCATGGTGTTGGTGGCTTTATGCCATATGGTTTTTCTGGAGTTCTTTCAGGGGCAGCTACGTGCTTTTATGCATTTGTGGGATTCGACTGTATTGCCACCACAGGTAAGATAACAAAAAAAGAGAGTACTTTTTAAAAATAATAATTTCTACTCTTAGCTAGGCCTTTGCTGTGTACCACTCATTTAGAGACTCAGCCATTTTTTCCATTCTGCTGCAGATACCTCTCTGAAAATAGTTCCTGCTGCTCTGCATGGATGGTGCTTCTTCTTTTCAGCATGAAATATATTATATTTACATACAGATCAGAATCTAATTAGATTCTTGGAGAAGGGATTATGTGTTTTAAAACATAAACAGTAGAAAGTACTTCCGGAACCTGAACGTGGATCAGAATATTAATTTCAGCTGTATTTGATTGAATGATTAATTATACCATGCAATGTGACGCGATGGATTTCTACTCAGAAATAAATCGGCGTTGCAAAATTTAAACAGTAGCACACTTCTTTATGCCAATTTTGGATGTAATTTTGTATATCGCTACTTTTTACTCTTAGTTTTCATTATCTTATAGGTAAGCTTGAAAATGAAGCTATAGTAATATATTCTTAGTATTTGGACAACAGCAAGAAGGAACACTGAAGTTTTATGTTGCATTGCATAATTTTAAATTATGGTGTTGAATCAAATTGTATAGTTTGATTCTCAAACATGTAAGTTATTTATCTAGGCAAATATTTTACCTCTTAGCATAATATGCAAATGTAATGAACTGTTATACGTTTCATAAATAGCTTTAGGTTTTCCTTATTGGAAACAATGAGGCAATTCAGAGAAATAACTCCTAATAATTTTAAAAGAATTTGTAAAATGCATGCTTTACAATATATTTAATATGCTACTGACAAGTTTTAATTTGGGGAAGGATTTTTGCTTTCACTAGAGGAAAATATGTCAAATGCAGTTTCTTCACTGAAAGGAAATAATTAAATTCATCTTTTGTAATCTTTGGGTTGTATCTCCGTTTTAGGTGAAGAAGTAAAAAATCCCCAGAAAGCTATTCCAATAGGCATAGTGGCCTCACTTCTGATCTGCTTTGTTGCATATTTTGGGGTGTCGGCTGCTCTTACTCTCATGATGCCTTACTATCTGCTCGATAAAAATAGCCCACTGCCAGTTGCTTTTAAGTATGTGAAATGGGACGGAGCAAACTATGCGGTTGCCGTTGGGTCCCTATGTGCTCTCTCTACAAGGTAAGGGCTACAACTTTTTTTTTGCATACGTGCGGTAAGAGTGTACTCACCGATGAGTGTATTAATCTTTAAATAAAAATGTTCATAGTTGATTTAGGAGTTGGCTTTTTTTAACTTGACAGATTTTTAAGAGCCGTAGTGGCGCAGTGGTTAACATGCAGTACTGCAGACGAAACTCACTGCTCACTCTAGGAATTTGATTCTGAGCGGTTCAGTGTTGGCTCAGCCTGCCATCCTTCCGAAGTCGGTAAACTGAGGACCCAGATTGTTGGGGAAAATATGCTGACTCTATAAACCACTTAGAACTGTAAAGCACTCTGAAGCAGTATGTAAGTCTAAGTGCTATTGCTGTGCTCCACAGTTCAGGTTTGATATAGTTGGAAAGGTGGGTTATTTAGATGGTAACAGTTTACAATTTTCCCCTCATATTAGTTAAAGGTCTGTGATAAAGCTTGCAGAAGAGGTCATTGACTCTACCTCTAGTAAATCTAAAACCCTAGAGGAAGGGGAGTTAACTGCCAGTCACTGGAGACAAAGCCTTCCAATCTGCTGCTGATACATAGAATTTAAGATTTTCAGAGTTCCTAGTCCATGTCTCCAGAAACCATGCTGTGTAGGAATTCTGGAAATTTTTAATCACACATATGAGGTGGGGGGAGGGAAGACTGATAGGGTTAATTGTTCCATAATTGGAACAGTGTAATTGGACTTGATAGAAACTACCTGTGTCTCTTTTGTGGTAAAATTCTTTGGCTATATCCTCCCAGGAAACTTTCGTTATTCAGAGTCCTTACAGCAGTTATCACTAATTTGTCATTTTTAATGTGAAAAAAGAAGAAATAAATATAATCATTTATTTAAAGGAAATGTAATCAGATTTAGCTTTTAATCCAGCCTCACTCATTCCTTTATGTTGCCATATCTACTTTTAGGAATTTGAATCAGAGCTCTTATTCATAGGCCAGAAAAGATTCTAAACATTTAAAAAAAAAAAAACCATGCATATTCACTTCAGATATTGCATGCAATGCTATTGTTCAGGATTCATCGTTAAAATGAGTACAGAATTTTTTTTAAGCCCACTTTTATGTACAGGTATTTCTCAACTAGTAACCATTTATTAGTGATTGTTCAAAGTTATAACCGTGCTGACAAAAGTGACCTACAACTAAACCTCACACTTATAACTGTTGCAGTGGTCACATGATCAAAATTTGGGCATTTGGCAGTTGGCATGTATTCATAATGATTGCATGTCCCAGCATTATGTGATCCTCATTTATGACTTTCCCAGCTGGCTTACAACAAGCAAAGTTAATGGGGGAATCCAGATTCACTTAACAACAGTGATTCACTTAATGACCATGCCAATCCACTTAACAAGTGCAGTAAAACTGGGCATGACTCACTTAACAGCTGCTTTGCTTAGTATGGAAGTTCTTGTCCTAATTGTGGTGGTAAGTTGAGGATTACCTATCTCTCACTAATTATTTTGGGAATAAACCTTATTAAAAGGTTTTAAGAGAGCATTAAAACTAACATAAACTATTACAACATGGGAGAACCAAGGAAAAAAGTGCAGTGAGTAAATATAAAAAGAAATAGAAGTTTTCAGTTTCTTCCACAGCAAATATAAGTATCTGACTAATTTTTTAAAATCCCATTTTCATTGCAGTGAAGATCTGGGATTCACTGCTGCAAAAGAGCAACATTTTCCTATTATCTTTTATAATTACTCTCCCAATTTGGGGGAAAAGACACTCCTTTAAAAAATGAATTTCTTGCATTAGGGACAGCGTTGTTGGAATAGGTTAAACAATTTTTATTTCTGTACACAAGAAATAAATCAACATTAATGTCTCTTGTCCTTTTCTAGCCTGCTTGGATCCATGTTTCCAATGCCTCGGGTTATTTATGCGATGGCAGAAGATGGATTACTATTCAGATTTTTGTCTCGTATCAATGAGCGGACAAAAACCCCAATGTTAGCTACAATAACCTCAGGAGCTGTTGCAGGTAAAAAAAGATTCCTTAAGAATGACTCAAGTAATTCCTAGGTGTCCCCCATTACTCTATGTGTACAGGTGTGCAACTTGTAAACATGTGCATTTCATAACTCCATAAGGAGAACACTTTGCATCTATAAAGCAGTTTAAAACTAACATCACATATATTAAGATGCAAATATTTTTAAGGTTGCAAGACTTGCTCATTCAGAAGTAATATTGCTACTCTTACTCACGATGTTGCGTAAGTCACACACAACTTGATATACAGTTTGCCTTTTTTTGAACTCTGGTTTTCTTGCTTCTTTCTCATGAATTTTACATCATCTCCTGGGAAATAGAAGAGCTTGTTGGCCCAGAAGTATGGATAAGGATTAAATTGTCATGATTCATCAGGCTTGTAAATGAAATAAAAAATATCCTGCCACTTAATTTGTGTCTTCTCTCTCTCTCTCTGCCTGTGCCTCTCCCTCCTCTTCTCTGCACCATTAGCTGTCATGGCCTTTCTCTTAGACCTCAAGGATCTTGTAGACCTGATGTCTATTGGGACACTTCTAGCTTACTCCTTGGTGGCTGCCTGTGTCTTGGTACTAAGGTAAGAAACCATAGCATTGCTGACAAATTAGCCTCAAAGATAGCCCAAATTTGGTTTCTTGAAAGGTATTTAATTTTAGATTTCATTACCTACTAAGTTCAAAATGTGAATTGAACTCTTGCTCAACGGCAGCAGATCCTAGGCGACATTGGAAAGAATCTGATATGCTAGTCAGGGCAAATGATTCCCTACAGTGAAAATTGGTTTCAGGAGCATCATTCGTCAGCACTCCCAAGATCCCGTCTGCTTCATTATTGGTGCAGATGGCTTTGTGTCCCATCTGCTCTGCTGCCTTTGGGACAGATCGTCTTGCCCTTTCCATGGAAATGCAAAACAGATGTTTGGGCTTTTATCTTTGTTTATTTTGGCAAACTGCTTCGCATAAGATTTTCCCTGCAATACTGTTTTCCCCTTCCGCTTTCATTTTCAAGAGTTAGGAATTTTTGCAGCTTCATTTACTAAAGTAGACAAGCAGTTGGATAGTATGAGAAAGGACCTTATGTTTATATGAAGATGAAAAGCTCAATATTAAGTGTAGAGAGTTTGCTCTTCCATTACATAAAAACAACAGCAGAATTAAGTAGACAAACAGCAATGGATCCCGTTCACCTGCTGTTCACCTGTTTAAAATAGCAGTTGATCCAGGAGGTATGGTGGTACAGTGGCTTAAGGATGCTGGATTTGCCAACCAAAAATGGTCAGCACGCCACCAGTTCAAGCCCTGTAGCACCGCAGGACAGTGTGAGCTCCCATCACTCACCTCTAACTCCTGCCCTGCCCACCCAGCAGTTCGAAAGCACTATTGCGAATAGATAAATGGGTACCTTTCTGGTGGGAAAGGCTAGCTGCAAAAAAGAAAGCGAGTCAGCACTGGACCTGCCCAGACACGAGGCAGGATCGACTGAGGAGCCCCACAATTTGTCATCAACCCAAATACCACTAGCCAGATGGTGCAAGCTACTTAATTCGTGGTGCACCATGAATAAGTGTGCAAGCACAAAACGGAACCCACTAGCAATTAACCTGTTAGAACTACTCTGTAAAGTGTAGATCTCCCTGACATGCATGTCAGATGAAATAAATAAATAAATAAGCAGTTGATCCTCAATTTTTTAAATCATGGAAGTTACTTGAGCCTCTATTTTTTCTCTGTGATTTTTGTTGTTCCCTTGATAGTTGAACATTAAGTGCAAACTGCAGATTGCAATAAAACATAACACATTCTTTTCAAGAGTATTTTTATCCTTGAGCATAAATATAGTAGTATATAATACCTCAGTAACATCCTAATCAAGATATCAGACTCAGATTAGCTAAAGAAGACAGCAGTTTTAGCCTTATTCCTGGAAATACAGTTTTGAGACTGGTGGGGCATTTACCAGAGCAATAAAGCTCCAAGAAGAACATAACATCTTCAATCTTAACATTTCTGTCTATAGTTAGCCTTGGTAGCTCTGTAATTTGCATTTCATTTTATGGATTTCATAGGAGTACGTGAAATAAAACCTAATACTTGTAGTTTCAGTTGATTTTATTCCACTATTCTACTCGTGATATGTTCTTCTAATACTCAAATAAAACCTTCCAATGGCACCTTTATAATTTCCAGTACTATTCTGCTAATGTGTATGTTATGTTTGTTTGTTTTCCTTATAGATACCAACCTGAGCAACCTAACTTGGCGTATCAAATGGCTAGTACTACAGAGGAGACAGACACAAATGAGTCTGTAAGCACAAGTGAATCTCAAACTGCTTTTCTGCCGGAAGAGGGAGAGAAATTATCCTTAAAAGTTATCCTCCTCCCCCAAAATACAGTCCCTTCCAAACTTTCAGGGTTTATAGTGAATGTCTCTACTTGTGTCATAGGTAAGCAGCTGATTCCAAAAAACAGTATTATTCTCAATCATTGTGTCTTTGACTGGAGTTTTGCCTCTGAAAAGTTGGCTAGTGAGTTTGCTGACGAACTGAAAATGTCCTCCTTGCAGTTTGTGTTTTGATTTAGCTGCCTTTAGAATAAAACCATAGTAGAACACGATAATGATGAGAAAACCCCTGAAAAAAAACAGGCAGCGAATTGGCAAGTGAAAAGTTGAAGGAAGTCCATCAAAGAAGCATAGAATACATAACAATCCCAATTCAAGCAGTCCCCACTTAACAGCTCTAATTGGGAGTGGAATTTTCGTGGCTCGGCAAAATGGTTGCTAGGTGAAACATACGCCTGTACCACTTAGTGATGGCAATTCCATTAGTAGCCCCAGTTGTGGTTGTTAAGTCAGGGCCACCCTGTCCTTGAGTAAGGATTCATGCTTCTGCTGTCCTGTACCTTCAGGTACAGGTACCTCCTGTACCACTTCACCTGCCTTGTCAGCATTGGGAGAAAGAAGGCAAAGGTTGGGAAGGAGGTGGTGGGGGTAGGGAGCAGAGTGTTGATCAGCCCAAAGGGCAGAGATTGGGAGGGGGGGGATAGGTGGGTGAGGGGAATTGAAGCCCAGCCTGTGGTTGTAAATGAGAGTGGGCTGCCAAGCATCCAGTTTTTAATCACGTGACTAGGGGAAGGTGTTTCAATAGCCGTTCTTTTCAGAAGCAAACCGTATTTGTTCAGTGCCCTCATAACTTCAAAGAGGTTGCTGAACAAATGGTTGTCAAGCAAGAATTACCTGTCGCTGAGATTTTTGCCACAGGGGTCCCCAACCCTTGGGCCACGGCCCTCTAGTGGGCCGTGGCTGGCTCAGAATTGAACTAGGGAGCTGCTGGCCAGTGCACACGTGTGCGCCTAGATCGACTCACACAAGCTATGGGGCAACATGAACACAGCTCTAGTCACATGAGTGGTGGGCTGGCACATGCACACATACACATATGCCAGCCCACCATTTGCATGGGTCATCTCCCCCCACCCCACCCCCCCAGGCTCCCAAGCCATAAAGGTTGAGAATCGCTGCTCTACAGGATTCAGTGAGCAAAAGAGTCATTCAGAAAAATGGATGTTGGAAGCTGTGGATCCTGGGCTGTCTATCCACTTATGTCACAGATCGTATTATTCTTCACTTAGCTAACTACAGCTGTTTTTTGTATTCCTCCCCACCATGTTTAACAATGCATCCAACATCTGAATGTTTCTTGTTCTCAGGTTTTCTTATTGTCAGCTTCTGTAGCTTGGCTGTCCTCGCCAAGGAGGTTCTGATCAGTGGAGCACCGTGGGCCATCAGCATGCTTGTTGTCATCTTCCTCATCTGCTTTGTTTTCATGGTCATCATTTGGAGGCAACCTGAAAGCAAAACCAAACTCTCATTTAAGGCAAGTGATGTGTAAAGCATACATGCATAAAAGAAGAACTGGAGCCCTTGCTGGCTTTCTGATCGGAAAGAGAGATTAGTGGAGATCAACCTGCTTTTGCCAAAAAAACAGCAGTGAGGGGAGATAGCAAAAGGCACTTTCCCACGCAGATTGAACATATGACCTTCAGCATTCTGGATGCTATTTTTGTAGGAAGGGTTCTCGTCTGTACTATTTGAATGTACTGGGAGATAATTGGTGGCACGCAAGGCTACTGGTATTCCTAATAGAATCTCCCTAATAAATCAACTCATTACATTATGGGGTGGTTGCTATAAATGAAGTCTTAAGTCTTTTCACAGAACGAGTAAGTGAGTGAGTGAGTAAATATATAAATACATAAAATAGAGGAAGGAAGACATGCCAATTGTTAAGGTTGGGCAAGCAGTTGGTTGGGCAAGCAGCAGGGGTTTCAGATGTTGCAACTTTCGGCCTTCAGTATGAAAATCTGAGAACTAGGTTTGCTGGGAGTTGTAGTTATGCAATAACTTGTGGGTGCACATTCCCCACCTGGCATAGTAGAAATTGTGTGCATCCCCAAATGTTTACATTGTATGCACAAACTTAAGTTAAAAAGGGGGGTTGAATTTAGCATGCCTATATGATATGCAAGCCTTAATTATGTATTATAACGCCTGAATTGGAACAGAGGCATTATATAGTTCTGTTTCTGTGTATCAACTCATTCTAATAAATTGAGAGTTGTGAATATAAATTAAGGTAGCTCTCATTTAGTGACCACAATTGGGACTGACAGCTGTCATTAAGGGAACTGATTGCTAAGTGGGAAATCATGTGAGCGTGACTGTGCTTTTATTTTCCTCACTCCCCCACTCTTTCAAATACTCATTCCAATCCTGGGATAATTAGCAAGAAAGGAATTAGTGTTTGTATTTACATTCTTTGGAGAGAAAGGGATTACAAGAGTGTAAGCAGGCTTACAATGGTGAATACAGTACACATTGAAAGGAATGTGGTAGGACCAGCTTCTGTAGAATTATTACTACAACATAAATATCAGAAAATGTACACACAACAGGATAACATCCAGTAACAATATTTAAAGTTGACTTTAACATGGAAACTCTTTATCATATAACCCTAATAGATTTTCAATCCTAACAAAATATGCTTTCATGCTAAATCTCCTGAGGAAGATCCTTACTCACTTCATTGTATGATAACAAAGGAAAGTTTCTGTTGTTTTCATACAATTTGTCTAAGTACCTTCCTGTTTGCCACATTGAACCACTGTCAAGAATGTCCCCTAAAACACCATCTCTGAAATGTGATTATAGTGTGTAGAATAGAAAGGATTTAATTCTTTAAAAAACATGTGTCTAAAATGTTGCAGTGACAAAACTTGTGTGTCTATACAAATCTACACTTGGATAATTGCATCTCCAATGTTTATTTGACTCTATAATTTTAAACACCTAAATCAGGGCTGTTAAACTCGCAGCCCGTGGGCCAGATGCATCATGCACTGGCCACACCCATGCCTGGTTTTGCAAAGGGGGAAAAAAGTTGCAATACATTACGTGAAGCCGTCGTGACAACGCGTGTTTGACACTCCTGACCTAGATGAAAGCCAGTAAGCATGACATCTTTTAAAATGTATTGTCAATAATCATTCCAGAGAATCCTTGAGAGCTATACTCAGAAGAACCTGCAAGAATTTGTGGCCTTTTATACATTCACAATATTATGTGCTTGCTAATATTGATGTGAGAAAACAATTCCTTACAAATAGAATCAAATTATTGATCTCAGGGGAAGGTAGATACGCGAACTGGTGTATCCCATACTCCTTAATGTAATCCAAGAAGCACAATTTTGCCTTTGTTTTACAGGTCCCCTTTCTCCCTGTCCTGCCAATCCTGAGCATCTTTGTCAATGTTTATCTCATGATGCAGCTGGATTGCGGCACCTGGATAAGATTTGCCATCTGGATGGTCATAGGTAAATTTCAACTATGTGATATGATGACATTCTCTTCATTCAGATAGGCAGATTAGTGAATATGAGACAGTTTTGAAGGTTGAAGAGGAGTTCAGATTCTTTACTCTTGTGGTCAGAAGCCATAAAATGACAATTGAGTTATCTTTAATATAGTATGAGAGTTGCGGGCATTGAAAAAAACATTAAAACCAAACATTTTAATAAGCGTATCAACCCAGGCAGCTGTTATGAAACTGTTGACAGTGTTTTAGGTTTTGTGTAAAACAAAACAAACACAGGTTCACACACATTAAGAGTTGGGAGTAGCCTTTAATTATTTTGATTAAATCTTTTAAAAAATCTCCAGGAATAGGCCCATGCGGGGTATGTTACGACAATTAAGCTCATAAATTTTGAAAACAGGTGAGAAACGTGGCAAGAACTGATCTATGCAGAATTAAAACAGAGTTCCCTATTTTTGGGTAGAAAGCACTCTGCAGAATATCTGACTTGTTTCTCAACTCAGAGATAGACTACTCACTGGAAAAATGTGTCAGTTCCCTTCAGCCGTACCGCACTGCACTTTAGAAGTATATATTCCTTGGACGTTCCACAAGAGCATAATCTCATGTTGTATTGTATTCCTTACAACAGAAACTGATATCCTGCGTGCTGCCTCACGTGTTACCTAATGCTACTCCACTTTTCACTTTTCCCCAGGCCTGGTGATATATTTTGGCTACGGCATATGGCACAGCGTAGAGGCATCTTATTCAGCATCAACAGATCAAGAAAGAAGTATGGATAACAATATGGATACTTGTAAATGACAGCCTTCTTGCTCAGGAGGTTATTGAGATCACTACTACTACACAGCCGGATACTTTTCTCTCCCAAATTCTGAATATTTTTTTTTTTTTTGGTAGAATATCAGGCAGGCTCTCATGTCCCCTTTTAACATGAGGATGCAGCTGGGAGAGATCACAAGGAAAAAAATACTTAGCCTCTGATGTACTCCCAACAACACTGTTACTTCTTGACAACAGCTATTTCTCTTCTTGACTCTTCGAATAGAAATTGCCTTTCAGGGTGCCAGTTTACTTCCAATGTTACTGTGAGAATAAGATTCTCTAGCTTGCGAATTAATTCCTGGCTACTGGAATGGAGCACACTGTATACTGTTTCTCCAAAATCACCTATATTGCAGCACCAGAACTAAACTAAAGCAAACCCAAACCAAACCATACATACACTCTCATTACATGTTTATAAACTGTACCCACTTCCCAAGACTGGAATGAAAAAAAAAGGAGTGGTGCTATTTAAGCATTGTGCTTTACATATTTAAAGAGGAGTGATGCCTGAGTTTTAGCATCCAATGTTACAACAATCTCCTTTAGCAAAGGTGGACAAACCAGGCTTCCTGCAGCCCTCGGAGGCTTCTGTGCAACCTGCTAGCTGAATTCCTCTCCTGTGCTTCAAACAGCTGTGTAGATATGAAGCAGAGTCTGTTGCTTATGATAGAACTGCTGTGTAGAAAGTATGACTTTCAGCTTTGCAGATTTGCCAAATCAAGGGCAATTGCTTGCTTGGGATGCTGTTCACATTTCAGCTCAGACAGTCCTGGTCAAAGGCAGCCTTGCCCATGCTTGTATTTCAACACAATATTGTGCAGTAACTCATTGATACGCCCTGTGGCTGAGAAAAGGCAACAGTTTCCTGTAATAAAGATGGAATTAATAAAGGAAAATATTTGTAGCTCAGGGTTGACACGAGGGGTCCTTGGTAGTCTTTGACCTTGCTTGTTTTCTTTCATTACCCAAACTAGGTAACATTACTAATGCTAATCTAGTCTATGTTACTTACTTTGGGCAATGAAACTTCCTCAAGGAAACAAGCTCAGAGAGCACCAAGGACCCCTCTAAGATGAAATTGAACACAGGGTTCTTGGGTCAAACTCCAGCATGGTCTTTACTGTTATGTTTGAAATAATATATTTAAAGTTAATATTTTATTGAAGGAGGGTTGTGACAAATGCAGCTTTTCTGGTACAGAGTAGGAGCCACCCTTATATTTTGCCTGGAGAATATTTGGGACTATAGAATATAAGTTTCTCCTCTTATCCTGTTAGCGCTGATGTTTCCAAGTAGGCCACCGGGTTTAAAATTCAAATTTGGATTATTTCATCTGTTAGGCATGGATGGGACAGGGGAGACCATAAAAGTATCTATCAAAGGGAGAATCACCTTCTTCTAAAAATGTGGTTTTTCCAAAGCGAGGGTAAAAGTCTATACACCCATCAAATAATATTGATGCTTACTGTTTTGATATTCTAGTAAATAGTGTAGATTGTTGTACTTTTTTCTTTTACACTGTTAATCTCAGAGGCTTGAATTTATTATTACTTGTTCGTGGTATTTATGTCTAGCTCCTTGATGTGTTGTATTTGAGCAAGCTATATGGAAAAGAATAGCACTTAGAAGAAAGGGAAATCATTTTGCTTCTTTTTGTGTGAGGAAATTTAGAAGGAGGGTTATTTATTTATGGCACTCCCTATGTTTTGTCCAAGTTGTATCCTAGTGATAAAGTTATTAGATATGATTTTTGACTCAAGTTTCATCACCTTGGTGATTTCTGAGAATTTTAGTGGTGACATCTACCTGTCCAGAAGGTTAGACAGCTTCTGCAGACAGTGTTTACCCAGATGGACCAATAACTTGATACAAAGCAGTTTATTGTATTTGATACTTCCGCAACTTCCTTTTGCCATCACAAAAGTCTGTGAAGGCTACAATTATAATGATGAGGGTGTTCATTTTAAAGGGCTTCAGCGTTGATCAGTTGAGAAATGCACAACTTAGTTTGAATCAACTAGACCTTCCCTAAGTAAACTGGCCAAGCTGCTCAAGGTGATTTGGGAAGCTCTCAGGGCTGGCTAGAAAATGTTCCTTTCATATGAAAATGTATATGTGACTTGAAAATATCTAAAACTTTGTTTTTGGGTTTTTCTGGATGGAATCCCACCAGGTCACATGAATCCTTGTTTTAGAGTCTGTGAGGAGTGAGATGGAGCTTGCTTTGAACTCTTTATTCTTTGTTGAATCAACCTTTGTGGATTGTTTCATTCATGACAAAAGTCCTTTGCATAAATCTCTTCTGTATGGTCACATTTCATATCATCCATGCTAATTTTAATCTTTTACTTATTATTAAAATACACCCTATTACATGGACGTCCAGCTTTTTGGCTTGCCAGGGCCGCATCGAGTGAAGATGATTTGCCTTGGGCTGCATATAAAATATATAACATAGTTAGAATATACAAATCCCATAATAATGTTAAAAGTTTAGGATCTTGTGGGGTCACATTGCTAGCTGCCCAGGGCCACATACAGGCTGCCGGCCCAGGTTGAACATGCCTGCCCTAATACATCATTGTCTTTGAAAATGGCCTAGAAGGATGCTGTCAGATTTTCTATAAAAGACAAATTACTCAGTCATTAAAATTCAATTTGAGAAGGGTCCCTAGATAATTTTTGGAACTGACTTATTTCCCCTGCACTTTTGTTCTTCTTAAGTAGATAAATCCATACTGTGTGTGTGGGCAGTTGATGAAACTGAAAGCAGCCCGAAGAATGTGATTTTCAATTTGGCAATTGCATTTCCAAAGGACAGTAAATCCATACATTATGATTTAGTATGGTTGAATTGCAGTGTTTAGTCCAATTCATTTTTAAACTTATAGGTAGACCTTGACTTAATGACCACAATTGGGACTTAAATGTGATCATTTAAAAAGTCAGCATGTGACCAGATCTGATTTTATAACCATTTTTACCTGGTTATTAAATGAGTTATGCAGTTATTAAGCAAATTTGTCTTCTGTTGATTTCATTTTGTCGGAAGCTGGTTGGGAAGGTTGAAAATTGTGATCATGTGACCACAGAATGCTGCAACTGTCTTCAGTCGTGATCACATGACTGGGCAACAGTTGTAACTTCAAGGACAAGTCATAAATTACCTTTTTCAGTGCCATGAATTTGAACAGTCATTAAATGAATGGTTGCAAGTTAAGGGCTACCTGTACTAGGGAAAATAGTATTAGAAAAAGCCTTAAACACTGGGCATCGTGTTTGGTTCTGTATGGTAGATACATGCATGCAGTAAAAAGATGTTCCTTTTCAGATGTGGCATTTAAGGAAATGATTTTGGAAGGAAATCCTGTCACATGCAAAGGAACCTTTAAAAAAGTTTTTCACACACACATCACTAGTGGAAAAGATCACAGATTAACAATCATAGTTCTCAAGTCTCATCTTCAACTGTCATAATTTTGGAAGCTGAAGTCCACTACATCCAAATGACATCAGGCTGAGAGACGTTGTTCTAAGTAAGGTTGATACCATATCCAAGACTTGAATGGGTTTTGCTTTTCCTCTCACTTGAGATTCAACAACAGGAGATGTTAGGCCTGGGAAAAAGTTTTCTTGGAGAAAGACTTGCCGAGAACTTCTTGTGGGATATTCTCATTATGACTAGCTGCTTTTTTCTCCATGGAGATGTTTATAGTTCCTGGTGGTATTCAGAGACTAAGGCAGGGAGCAGGGAGCAACTCTGGACCAGTAAATATAAAACCCCCAAACAGGGAGCCCTTTGGCTTCTAGTATTGAAACCTCAATGGAGAAACATGCAAAAGATTGAGGTCTAATGGTGAAAACCTAAAAGCTACTGCTGTAAGTTTGCTAGAGTGAAGAATAAGACTACCATTTATTTGAGCTCATCTTTGTAATTATATGAATAACTATTATTATTTTAATATTAGGATTGTTTTGTATAGCTGCTGGACACTTTGTATAAAATCCTATTCTATAGTGTTTCTCAAAACACGGCTTCCTCAAAGAAAATGTGCAGTTTTTCTTAGTAAAGGAAGGGTTTATCAATAATTGTGGTTTTGAATCTAAAGAAGTCGCTAGTACTTTCAGGAATTGCTTACTTTAAAATCTTACTAAGTTTTTATTAGCCTAAAGCCAAATTTGCAAACTCGGTGTGTGCAGAAGTTTTTTTAAAAAAGTGACTTTCGATAACTTGATATTCTTCACATGTATTTGAATTACATGTTTCAAAACTGCAGGGGTGGGATTCTACCGGTTCTGATCACTTCTGTAGAACCGGTTGCTATGAAAAGTAGCAAACAGAGAGCATACATAGAACCAGTTCTATTTCTGCTGCTGTTTTGGCCCATCCGCCCACCGGGGCTCTTACCTGACTTTTATTTCCTGTGTTTTCAACCGCAGCTGCTTTGCACGGCACAGCTGTGGTTGAAAAAGCAGGAAAAAAGTGCTTTTTCAACCGCTGCACACTTGCAGCGCTGTTCAGCTCTCCGGGCGTCTCAGCAGGTTGTAAATTGCACTGGTGTGACTCGGACGATGCAGAGCGACAGAAATGGTAGTTATACCGGTCGGATCCCATCCCTGCAAAACTGGCATAATATTCAGCAATTTTTAATTCTCCATACCTGGAGGATATCTAATTGGGAATTAAGTGTTGCTTCCTTAATGCATGGAGTGAGGGGAGAAACAAAGTTGACCTACTTGATCAAACCATTACCATAAAAGTCAGTTTTTGTAAGTCAGGTTTATGCAAATTAATCCCCAAATTAATTCCAGTTACAACTCCAGCTTTTCAAGAGCAACACATTTCTTGCTCCTGAGTTCCTTCCAAGACCAATGGCAATTATCAGTAATCTGGTAGTACCCTTTTCAATTAACACATTTTGTTACAAGGTAGAAGCTTTCAAACGTGTTAGAAAAAGTGCTGCCAGACCTTTTTTTTTTTTCTTTTGCTGCTATAGACTCACGTGGCTATTCTCATACAATGCCATTTATATAAATACTCTGTTTTTGTGCATTTGAAAGCCTTGTATTGTGAACTAAAATGCAATCTATTTTGTTAATATTTTCAATTGTTAAAATGTTAAAATTGTCTTCAAAATATTTTATTTAAATGTTTATATTTTGTACATTTTTCTGCCCTTTATGTTTGATTGCCGCTTTTTCATCTCCATATCTACTTTTACTCAGTGTGTTGATAAATGAGAGATGTCTCACCAGTGTTCAGCAAGCAGTAAAAAATTTAACCTAGTCAGTAAAAACTTGCAACAACAATTTTCAGGTTTCTATTTTGATGTTCATCAATTCTGTTAATCCTCATCTATTTAATGGAATCATGCTACAAACACTGGATCATAGAATATTCTCATAAAAGGTGAGGATTTTTAATTCCTTTTCTTTAAGCCATTTTTAAAAAAAGAAATACTTTATTAAATATGTTTTTATTGGTTAGTGAATAGATAGTTATCAACAGGAGGAAGCCAACTGCAAGTGGCTTACCTTAAATGTAGAATCAATATACTTTCAAGGGTGATTAAGTAGAAGGCATATTCACACATAAGCATTAACAGAATCTGTATTATCACTCACTTCAGTAGGACCAGTTTCCATATTACCTTCATTGTTTTAACTGTACTGCAGGCTGGTTGAACATCCCTTATATGCCACAGCTTGAATGCATATGTGAAACTTTGTAAACCCATTATTTTATTGGGAGTAGAGGAGAGAAAAGATTATGTGTCTGACTTCCCTGTTAAACAGCTCATCATCACTTTTTGTCACTTTCTGATCCTTCACATGTATCTGCTCGCATACATATACAGAGCCTGTACAGTGTGAACAAGTGGTTGTGGAAGGAACTGTTTGTTCTCTGTGTCCACATGTACTAGATTTCTAATAAGGGATGTGTGTATTAAAGCCTGCTTTCCTGGATGAATGCCATATTTGGCAAGGTGAAAGTGCTTTGTATATATGATGATGCTGTCTCATTTAATTGCTGATTGCAATCTTGTTGCCTTTCAGTGTGTATCTCTTATTTTACTATGTGGTGTATTTACAGGGTAACAAAATGAAACAATCTTATTTAAGTTGTACAAAAGGAGTTTTCAACCTATGTGACGGACCTCTTCTGCATTTACCAAAATTCAAACGTGTTGTACAGATGCTACGTTTGGGTTCTAAATTTGAATTCTAAGTTTGAATTCTAAATTCATGCATGTAGCTTGGATTGTTGTAGAGTTAAATATGCATGTGGTAGAGGATTTTTTTTTTCCAGAGAGGAAGGGACCATAGTAAAGTTCCATTGATGTTTATCTTCACTGTAATTAGAACTTTTTAGTTGGTTGACACTAAAAACACCCTCTTAAGAAAGAATGTTGAATGCACTATGGAAATCAGTAAGCTTTGCTTCTGAGAAATTGTACATAGGATAGTGCTGCACATTTAAATTTTGTATACTACTGAAATTATATCATTGGTGCCTTCTTGTGATACCGAAGGAAGTGTGAGAGCTTTAGAAAAACTTAACATGGAAATATAATGAGTAGGCTTCCCCCCTCCTCCCCCCAACCTCTTATTGCAGTGTTCCACAGTCTGCTGCCCATTATATATATTGGACTACATAATACGGCCTGTGGGCGCCAGGTTGAGGAAGATGTTTTAACTCTGATAATAAATTCATGGTAGATAGTTCCTCGTTGCAAAAATGGTTAACATTTGGTAATACATTTGTGCAAGGCGTTTGTGGGAGGTGATTTGCCGACAACCTTTCTTTAAAGTATTAACACAGCCATAGCCTCCATAAGGTTTGTGTGAGTGTTTTGAAGGCTCATCTGCATTCATGTGTAGAGATGACACAGAGGAACCATCTGAAAGCTGTGAATTTATATCCATGTGCAGATAACCAGCTGGTAGCCTTGAAGAGGGCTCTGTCTCTCTCTCTCTCCCCACACCCCCAGTAGTAATGTACTTTGTAAATTACCTCTTCCAAATGTTTCACACAATTCTGATTGTTACAGAGACTCACGATAAGGAATAATTACATCCTGAAAGCTCATTTCTGAAGCAGAGGCCAAACCTTATGAAAACCGTGCCTGTTTTTTTTTTTTTTTTCTAAATTCAAACCTAGAAATCCTCAGGGTATATTTTCTCATTCTTCTTGGCGCATATCCTAAAAAAAAAAAATCCTGTCAACTTTATTAAGTTTCTAGATGGTGAGGGATCTTAACCAGATCACACTTACGCTTTGTTTTGCAAATGCTGGAAGGGTGGTGAGTGATAAAATGACTGGGTTCCTCTCTTTCTGTTGTGCCTTTCAATGTACCTCTGCTCCCAGGGGTACAAAGAATCAGTGTGGCACTCTTTGGAGTTGTATGTTACAATCGGTCGGAGAATATGGTGGTTTCTTTGGGAATACCCACCTTTTGATAACCAAGAAGCCATGAAATAATTTGTCCATATTTTTACTGAGTAAAATGTATATAAGTTTTTCTTCTATTTTTCTAATGATTTCCTCAGAATATATAATGGGTTCAAGATATAGTTACTTAAACCTTGATCCTGTCAGATGCTTCTGCCTCTTCACTGGAGCTTCTGGGTTTGTTCGGATTTTGGCTTCTCCCTTCAAATACAAAGCTTTGTTTTTTATTTTATATGTGAAACTTCATTTTAGAGCAAGGCCTCTGCTTCAATAACAAACCTCTGTTGAGGAATGCTGTAAATGTCTCCCTTTGGAGAGTGAGGTGTTTTTTTTTTTAAACTTTAGAGATCAATTTGTAAATAGGTGAACAATATTAATTTGTACTTTAAAATTTAAATAAATTATGTTAATTTTATCTTGCCTGTTTTAATAAATGTTTCTTTTTAAACAAATAAGTTGCGTGTAATTGCTGTTCTGTGTAGGAATCCAACTTCTGGATTTTGCCTTTTTGTTTTCAATTTCTTAGTAATCCTAAATAGCTCTCCTGCTTAAGACTGCTGTAGTCTTAATTTTTAGACCATTTAATTATATAAGTTTCTTAGCATGGGATGTGCCCTCTACCTCATTTTTCTATTCCTCCCCCTACTCCCCAATTTGCTTTTGTGGAGAAAGACAGACTACATTTCAAATGTTACCTCCAACAGATTTATCTAGAGAAAGTAAGTGGTTCTCCTGCAGCAACTCAGAGAAGATAGGAAGATGAGGAGAGAATGGGTGCCAGAGAATAGCGCTCCTTACCATTTGCTTTTGCCCCAACTAAAGAAAAAAATTACACACCTCCCTAGGAAAGAGGGACTTCCTCCATTGAATTTAATGTACAATGTCATGACCTTCGGAACACAATGTCAAAATCCCAAAATAGCCGTGGTCAATGATAAAAGCACTGTAAAATGTAGAACACCATTGAGGTAATGCAGCAAATGTCAATGTCAAATGTGAAAGAAGAAAGAAAATACATATGCATCACCCTTGTTGGCAACCGTTGCATAGCATATTGCAAAATTAGCATAATTTTAGTTGCATTTGTAACCTGCATTATATTAAACTACAAAGCAAATACATAGCATTTCTGATCCGTGAGGAATGAAGAAGTACTGGGAAGGGCATTGCAGACTAAATATTTCTCCTTAGGCCAGTTTATGATATATATTGATTTTATACATAGGGCTCTCATGTGCTAATGTCTTCGAAAAGACAGCAAGCATGTGAGTTTTCAATCCAGTTAGCTTTAATAAAAAAAATAAAAGTTGCGGTGCTGAAATCGCCTTAGGGTTTCCATTATTCACTAACATTTAGATGATGGATTTTTATAAAGTAAATGCACCATTTTGGTTGATGTGAAGCTATAGAAAGAAATGCAGAAGGACACCATAGCATAATGCTGGAGCATGTTATTTATTACCATGAATATATTACACACACTTTACACAGGAACTGAAATAATACAAACTTTTTCTTCTAATTCAAAGAGCCATCTATTATTATCAGACCATAAACCCCTGCAACAATGGTGGGGTGGTGGGTGGGCAGGAGACACTTTACATGAAGGTCTACCATATGTCCATGGGACATAAGTGCAATTAGTGCAGACCCTAAAATACCTGATTTGGGTTCTTTAATCCAAAATATATCTTTGGGTTCATTTCTGGCTGATTTATTGATGATAAACATGACTTATAGCTATCTCTCCAAAGCTCTTTCTAAGGTCATCATTTCACTCTACTTTTCTACCTGCTTATTTCCTTCATGAATTACTTTGAAGAACCTTTAGGCAACCTACGGAAGATTTTTCTGGGATTATTTGGTGGCCAGAATGAATTTTGATGACTTCCAGGAAAGACAAATACTGGATACAGGGAAACACAACTCATAATTTTTGTAACTGCCACATCTTGCTTGAAGCTCAGAGATATGTACTGTAGTACTGCTTTGCCACACTTGTCACTAAAAGAAGGATTACAGTGGAAATGAGAGTGCCTTCTTGGTTTTGAGGTAAGACAGAACAGGTTGGTAAAAAGAATGGCAAGTGTGTTATGCTTCCAGCATTGCATTGCTCCCTAAACTATCTGTTGGCAAGTCATGTCAAAGGCCATTTGTTATGCACTTTTCAGGGCAACTGTTTTACTCTAATGTGTTAAATGTAGTAGGAGGGTATGAGCACACAGTTGGTTGTTCCTGACCAATTTCTACTTGAATCTTCAAATAGTATATTTACCAAACCTACAAGTTTTTAATTTTGAAACTATCTCCAATGTTTTTCGAAAGCTTCCATTCAGGGGTGGGATTCAATTTTTTTTAACAACCAGTTCTGTGGGTGTGGCTAGGTGGGTGTGGCTAGGTAGGCGTGGCATGGGACTGGGTGGGCATGGCTTCTTTTTTTTCAGAACCCTTCTGCACTGTTTTTTTGGCCTCCTGAGCCTCAGGGAAGCCTCCTTGGGGGGGGGGTGTTTGCTCCCAGGAAGCTTCCTTGGTACCCAGGAAGGCAAAAAATGGAGCATGGGGGGGCCTCTGCAGCATCGCCACTCCAATTTTTGGCCTCCTGGGTGTCAGAGAAGCCTCCGGGGGGGGGGCATTTGAGGCCCAGGAAGGCACAAAAATGGAGCACCCTTTTTGTCTCCTGGTCCTCAGGGAAACCTCCTGGGAGAAGCAGTAAGACAGTGAGGGGGATCCCGGCACAGCTAATTATTGGAACAGCTGATCATCAGAAGAAAAAAAAGAAATACCATAAGGAGTGATTGGGTGGGGGAGAACCAGTCAGCAATTTCATGCATGCACAGTAAGGACTGACTAGACGGGGAGGGGAAAGGCAGGTGGAGAGGGGCCAGCCAGGGGCGTGATTTGCCAGTTCTCCGAACTCCAGAATCGTAACAACCGGTTCTATAGAACCGTTCTGAATTGATAGAATCCCACCCCTGCTTACATTAAAATACTATTAATCTAGGGCAAGGTTTCTGGTTTAAAGATAAATTATTGGGAATGGGGGGGCAGAGAGGGAGAGCTACCTAATATATCAGTATAATATAGCTATTTTTTGGGAGAGTTCTGTCAAGACTGATTTTTTACTTCCTAAATCTTTCCAGGAGCACCACTTATTCATTGGGCAATGTTCTCTCATTTTTCTTCCCAGTACTGCAATTACTAGAATATAAGATTCAAACAAATACTTTGCAGCTCCCTTTGCCCCATGCATTTTGGAGCAATTGTCTCTAACCTTGAGTTTGAAATGATAGAAGCAGGAGTGAAAGTTAGGAATCACTTTTCCAAGCTAGTTCTTGAACTTCCTTCCATACATGTTGATTGTGGTTTAAATTTAAGTAGAACTTTTGTTATACACATAACTAGTATTGTTGGGCTGTTGGACTATCTTCATTGTATAACTTTATTAGTTTTATAAGTTGCAGGGAAGCTGGTCACATAGAAAGTCCTCAAGCGTGTTACATTAGGCAGGCCAAAGCAATTTGGCAGTTCCGTTTCAATCTTTTGTGCCATCTCAAAAATGAGTTTTAACATGTTTCACAAGTGCTTTGCAGGGGTGAGTTGGGCCTTCTGTGTTTTGGCATTGCTTAGCAATGTAACATCATGCAAATGATAATTTTCTGCTTGAGATTAAAAACAGTGAATTATGATGCAGAAGGAAAAAGTTGCCCTGCTGTTAAAAATGCAGAAAATAGTCAGTATAGCATACACGGGTGATGATTATCTTCTGTCTTCTGACTTTTGCATAGAAATAAATGTTTGGAGTTGAACTTTTGTAGGCTGGCTCTGACCACCATCAGCTAAAATCCTCATCATAACTGGAAGCATTATTGTGTATGGGGGAGGGAGAATGAAACAACTTTAACAGAGGTGCCAATGGACAAATCACTCATCTGTCAATGGCTAGCTCCATAGCCTGTAAGCAAAGAGTGATGCATAACTTATAGGGAAATAGAAGAACAAATAGATCATCATCATGGTAACATAAATTAGATGAGCCAACACTGTTCACAATGATAACATAACAAGTAGACAAGTGTACTGTGGCATTCTCTGTCTTCAGGCATTAAAATATAAAAAGTGGATAAAATTGCATTAGTAAGTCATTGTCTCTACTTTCCTGTTCTCAATTCATTTTGCCCTTATATAAAATCTAATTCTGCAGTCAGTGTTACTTACAAACATGACATGAGCTAATCTAAAGATGTTCTTAATATCATAATATCATGCAAGGCAGCTACTAAAATAAATTCCTAAGGGGGGAAAAGCAATCTTGTTACTTTGTACACAATGGAATTAGGCCCCAAATCTGTGTTGGTCAGACAATGCTGACTAGCTCTTGAGCTGCAGTTTAGTGTTAGTGTTTTTCACTATACTTCTTATTTTCTCACATAACGTGGCCCTTTGAACAGTCCTTAATTTGATGGACTCAGCCACGGCTGTGCAAAATATACACAAAGCCACAGCCACTACTTGAGAATCAAAGTGCCACACGGATATCAAATAACAAGAACCTACATTTGCTTAAGTCAGCCTTGCCCAACACAACATTAGTAAGATTTCTGAGCTACAAATCCCTTAATTTCCCCAAAGTAGGATAAGACCCATGTGAGCTTGCAGTCCAATATATTTGGAGGAATTTAACTGAGGAAGGCTGACTTAGACAATTTATGCTCCACAAGCATTCAAGTGCTAGGATCAATGCTTTCACAGTCTAGTCTAACATATTTGACAACATGCTAGAACTCACCTTCTAACACCAAAGACAATATAAAGGGAATTGGCTGCATACTTTTCATACTTTCATTGAGATCAAGAATTATCTCAAAATATATTACTATCCTGTCTTCCGTAATACACTTTCGGAAGCCAGTCTACATTTGAGCAACCAGGAGACCCTATTTAATGCTACTGCTAACTACATATTTGGGTACCAGTGTTCAGATGGAAATTAAGCAAAGCAGAAACACTGGACCCAGTGGGTTGGCCATAAATGAAGACAAAATTCTGTGAACATGGAGTAAGTGGACGTGCACAATGTTAATGGTCAAGTTTAGGCCCCTGCTTTTAGAGCCGTACCTGGTATCCCTGACAAAGTTGCTCAATATGCCAATACTGCATACAACCACAACATAATTGACTAATCAGTGATCAAAGGCAACCTTCTCAGCTTGCCAATTGTTTCACTGGTATTAAATAATGTGCTACAAGCAGCTGCCTGGGATGACTATGTCTTTAGGCCATTTCTGTGAATGAGAAAGTTTCTGTCAGTAGAGTTGGGGTTTTTATATGCAAAA